CGACCAGGCAATGCCCGGCCGGACTCGATACGCTGCCTATTCATCACCGGATACTGACTGGACGAACAGGCCGGCGAGGACGAACCACTCGGTCATTCATTACTCACCCGGCGGCGGCGCGTATATTGCGGGCCGGGATGGCTTCCTTGGCATTCGTCGCGGAGGATAACCGGCGAAAGATGCGGCGCGACATCACAGCTTGGCGTCTTGTTCACTGGTTCCGCTCGTGCTATACCAAGGAAGCAGCAGAGAGAGCCCCAGCAGCAGCAACTACAATGCTCTGGACGGCACAATTCATGACTTACATGCTCTCTACCACGGTTTTATGAAGAAGCCTTGGGCCATTAAGAAAAAAAGACGTGATGTCTCAGAGGTGGGGAATGTCCGAAAGCTAAATGTGGCCAACAACGATTCTCGAGCCGATGCCTTCCCACCTAACATGAAGTCAATGCTAAACTTCCACGAGAAATGTATGAGGCTGATCCTTATCATTGTCCCACATCTTTGCAGTGTTATGCACATAATAATTTGGATACATACGTCTCAAAAACCTTTTTCTTTTGCCTGGGATGTCCAGCAAACCATCACAAAAAATGCCTAATGTTTTCCGAGCCCGTTCCAAACTCTGATCAATGGTGTCTGGTTGATGTGCTGTCAGGAGTGTGGAGGCTCGTCCGAAACAGGGCCTGTGGTGTAGGGCGCCTCACCTTTTAACCTCATTTTTTCCTATCCCTCTATTTTTCCTCCCTTGCTTCTCTCCCCCTCTCTTTCCCTCTCCCTCTCTCTCTCTCTCTCTCTCTCTCCTCTCTCTTCTCTCTCTCTCTCTCTCTCTCTCATCTCTCTCTCTTTTTCTCTCTCTCTCTATCTCTCTCTCTCTCTTCTCTCTCTCTCTCTCTCTCTCTCTCTCTCTCTCTCTCTCTCTGTCTCTGTCCTCTCTCTCTCTCTCTCTCTCTCTCTCTCTTCTCTCTCTCTCTCTCCTCTACTCTCTCTCTCCTCTCTCTCTCTCTATCTCTATCTCTCCTCTCTCTCTCTCTCTTCTCTCTCTTCTCTCTCTCTCTCTCTCTCTCTCTCTCTCTCTCTCTCTCTCTCTCTCTCTCTCTCTCTCTCTCTCTCTCTCTCTCTCTCTCTCTCTCTCTCTCTCTCTCTCTCTCTCTCTCTCTCTCTCTCTCTCTCTCTCTCTTCCTTCCTCTCGTCCTCTGACTAATTGCAAATGCACATGCATACATTTCGCGTCATTCACATACGAGCCCTTGTAATGTCGTTCTTACCAAAATAACTGATGCAAAGCGTAAATAACAATCTAGTCTCATGAACGGTTGTAATTTAGCCTTACGCTGATTTGATATGTATGTCTCCCTCTCCCTGCTATGCCTGAAAGGCTGCTTCGTATCGGGGCGCCCAGTCCAGTCTGTGAGTGAAAACATGGCCGTATTGGGCGCCCAGTTCAGCCTATGGGTAAAAATATGGCCGTATTGGGCGCCCAGTTCAGCCTGTCGGTAAAAACATGGCCGTATTGGGTGCCCAGTTAAGCCTGTGGGTAAAAACATCGCCACTTTGGGGCGCCCAGTTCAGTCTGTGGATGAAAACATCGCCGTATTGGGTGCCCAGTTCAGCCTGTGAGTAAAAACATCGCCACATTGAGACGCCCAGTTTAGTCTGTGGGTGAAAACATCGCCGTACCGGGGCAACCAGTTAATTAAGTGGGCGATCACATCGCCAGGCTGGAGTACCCAGTTCAGTCGGTGGGCGAAAAAACGTCGTTGGTCAGCGACGTCGGACTCCTCCGCAAAAAACCACGCGGGGGAGCGGGTAAGAGAGCGCTGTAAGAACATGCTGTGTGCGGAGTTGCCCCGCTGCACTGCTGGTAAGACGTCGTTGTGTCTGATGGCAGTGAGCTGGGTGCTATGCGACGAGAGTGAGTACCGGCTGACGCAGTACCTGATGTCCAACTACGACCCGTCCGTCCGGCCCGCCCGTAACTCTGCTGAACCGCTCGACGTCAACTTCAGCCTCTCCCTGCACCACATCATCGACGTGGTGAGTACCTCTTCCCGCAGCACGCCACTGACATGGTGAGGCAATATCGCCCCCTTCGCCACATCATTGACGAATCCACATCACTCGCTTGATCACGCCATCGTCCTGATAGACAGTGCCCCTTGCAAGACCTGTTGGCATCCACGTAGACATGTCAAGCAGGGAAACTCCCAGCCTTAATCTGTTCATCAACAGAGACAACGTTAGTTTGCCTGCTTACGCGTACACTTCCATTTCGTGGTAAGGTGCGTTTTAGACACTACATACATATTATCCATTTTGTACCATATTCGGCAACAAAACTGTCCTCGGAGAACTACATGGAAGCGACACGACAAAACTGCACTCACGAACTTACGTAATTCTGAAGCGACATGAGTTCCAGTTCGAAATAAGATACACAACCGCAAGCCTATAAAACCCCGTTTCCCGCTTCACCTGACATAGGACAACCAGCTTGGATATGTTGATAAAATTGGATATAGACCAAAGCTGAATACCCCCTGAACACGACCGTCACAGCTGCATATTATTCCAGTAACGGTTGCGTGCTAATAAGCAGACTTTTGCGACCTGAGCTTCCTTTTTGGTGAAAAATACGAGGATTTTTGCTAGTTGCTGATTACTAGCGCTTTTTTATTTCGTCGATTTCGATAACGGTGTGCTTAAAGGAATGAACCAACGAGAAAAGTCACCAGGTCCAGGAATTTTCCCTCTTAAGGCAAAATAAACAAACCTAATGAGAAGTCATTTCAGCAAAAGCTGTGACGCATGAATCTGAGCGCAAGGCAATTGGCTTTAAACTTTGAACAGAACGTATATAAACAGAAGAGGTAAAAAAGCTTAGCTTGTCTCCCACAAAACACGAATGTTCTGATCCGTCTCGTGCCACCGCCGTCGCCGTGATTCGCCGTCTTTCCTCTGCTTAACGAGATCTTGTGTTTGGCATTAGTTTGTGTGTCATTAGTTTAATAATTGACCTCATTATGACAGGTAAAAGGCCGAAATTTCCACTATCGTATTTTGTCAGCCAGCAAGCCTATGAAAATGCCAAAAAGAAGAATGGTTTCAATGATTCTTTATTATTTATGCCACTGAAAACGCGAGTGTGGCAAACCACCCTTGTCTCATATACACAATATTCCGATTATATATTGATATTGTATGTTCTAGGTATCCATATTGCACACAGAACATCTTACCAAATAGCGCATTGCCTGCGTGAATAAAGACACCATGTAACCACACATGATAAGATTTGCTTTTCGTAGGGTACCAGCTTAATGTACATAGCAAAAAATGACCTTTTACAAAACTTGAACCACTTGGAACACATCCACAACATTTCAGAGGCTGAACACAAAACACTCCTGAAATTAGCATCCTTAGTTCACTTTCAGGGCGCGCTTGAATACTTTAAAGTTATGCTAAAAGGCGCTGAGATTTAAAAGAGCTGTAGGTTTCTGTTATCAGCTTTTCCTAATTGGTAAAGCATGGCAAAAATGTAAAAGATATGCATTAGCCAGCCTCAGTCTTTCCCCCAAATCAGCACTCACTTGCTTCATTTGCGGTACTACATGTCAGACAAGTGTACTCTGAGAATGGAAAGGAAATCTCACCGCACTACAAATACTTTGTCTTCATATTCTGTGTTAATCCGCAAAAGTTACATAAACCAAGATCATCGTGGAAGTTTGCTCAGATGTTGTCACAACAAACTATTGTGACATTTGGCCTATTCCAGTGTCTTTTCCAAAAATAAAATAAATGAATTTCACAATGATGCTGTTCCAATATTGAGGCCCGATGTGGCAATCTCCTCTATCGTATATGCATTGCAGTGAGCTGAACACCTTCACATGATGCAAGAACAAATGTCTAGAATTTAGATATTCAAACCCATGCCCAATTCACAGCCATCCACACTATACATGTTGTTGAACAAGCACCTGTGCAACATTGGGTGTACCCCATCTGCGTCACGACCACGGTATGTTAGTAGCTAGCTTCTATTCACAACTCACACTATTCACCAACTAAATATGACATCCAATCTTCCAGACGCCAGAAAAGCCTACACTTATCTGCCACAAAATGTAAGTGGCCCAGACTGTCTCCCCAACATGACTTGCAGCCAGAAAAAGGCATATTTTAAATGTGCAGCTTGTTGAGCTTTATCTTTAAGTGCATTCTACATACCAAAACCAATTGGGGAATCAAAATGTACCTCCTTTCTGCCAGTCAATGGGCTTATATTTAAACCTACTAAAAAGAGGAATGGTTTTGAAGATTCCCTGTTATTTATGCCACAGAAACAGTGAGTGTGGCAGACCCCTCCCCTTGCCTAGCATACAGTAGCGCAGACGGGGGGGGGGGGGGGGGGCACAGGGTTACGTGCGCCCTCTTAGGTTCTGACGGGCCCTTCGGTCCTCTCGAGCCTACGATTACGGGCGCGGAAGGCCGGCCGGGGGCTCCATTTAGGGGCCCCGACCTGCAGGGCAGGGCCTTTTACGCTGATCGGGGACCCCTTGAGTCGCTGTGGATATATATGCCGGTCAGGTACCACCAGTCCGCACAGTCGGCTCCGTGTCGGTATGGGCCTGAGAGGGCTCCAAGGTCGGTAACAGGTCATAGTGCTTAACAGGAGTTCTGTGGCGGCAAGTGGCACCGAGTCGGAGAGAGGGTTTATGGGGTCCGAAGAGGGGCCGAATGGTCTCCAGAGACCAAAGAACAAAAGTTCAATGGGATAGCTGAAGGGTCTGAAGGACTGAATGTAGGTTACATTAAGGCCTCCCGTCCATAGGGCTATGATCTGAAATGTCCGTAAGATGGCCTCTTGCACTGATAAGGACCCCTGAGACAGAGGGTTCCTCTACTTCAGCCAGAGATTACGAACGACAGCGAGTCGGCCCCGTGTTGGCCCGAGCTCTGGGGTCCCATTTCTGAAGCAGGGACAAGGCTGGGCCCGCGATATTTATTGGTCGGGGTCCTGTATCGTTCAGGGGTCCGCGGTGCCTAACAGGACATCATGTGCCAACGAGGGGCCTCGAATCGGTCAGGAGAAGATTTGCTCAACAGGGTCGGGGACGGGAGCCGAATGACAGAGAATCTCTTGCTTGGTCAGGGCTCTCTAATAATTGAAGGAAACATAAAACTTAAGATCTGTGCTCACATTGAGGCAAAAGAAGAGTTCTGTGCCGGTCAGGGCCCCCGCAGCAAACGGTGGGCCCTCCATTCCTATTCCAGTGCGGGCCCGTTAAGCCCAAATGAGGTCTATGTGCTAATTATTTGTCCACCTGCGGCGAGCAGGGATATTGTCGCGTTGATGACGGTTCATATGTCGACACAGGGTCAACTGCGCGGGTCAGAAGGCCTCCCGTATCAAGAAGCGGGCCAAGGTGGTACCGTGCACCACTCTAAAGGCCTCCGGATCGGCCACGGGATGCCACCCCGTGACGTCATAATGACGACCGGAAAACACACCGTGACGGGACAAAATGGCCCCTCAGCCCTTGACCGTGAACAACAATGTGATCCGTAGTGTTGTACTCAAGAGGAACCCTTTAACGGAAAGAAATAGGGAGTTTCATTGGCGTCGAATGTAGTGGGTTTAAATCAATTTAAAACGCGCGAGGCCATCACATGTTGTCGTGAGAACGTTCATTGGTTTGCATAATCAACTAGTGAAATAAATAACATAGAAAGGTTTGAGCCTGCGCGCCGGATGTCGACAGTGCAGTGGTTAACGCACCTGCGTTAACCACTGTTCGTCTGGGAAACTACACGCACGGGGTTCGATTTCTCGCGGTGCCCGCCATTCCCACCAGGATGAGAGGCTGGCGACTACATATAGCCCCAGCAGTTGAGCGCGTCATAATGTCCCACTGGCACGCTCGTAATCTCAGGGAACAAAGGTAGCGATGGCATTGGTTGCATTTTATGTCAAACCGAGCAGCTGGTCACTGCAAGTAACGCCAGGAGGGGAGAGGGGGGGGGGGGGGGGGGGGCGGGCGCCGAGCGCGCAACAATGGCCATAGTTAAATAATGTTTCTGAATGTTTTTCAAAATTAATTGGCACAGCTTAAAGACTACATTTGACCAAACTTTTATACAACTTTGAGGCTGTTCTCTAGAGAGATTAACAGTAACAGCAGCCCGGGAAATGGATATTTTACCTTCACTCTTCCAGCTCCTTCACCAGATTCCACCACCATTTCGCTGTGCTTTAAAGAACACTGCGCCATTGTCATCAATCTAAAAACCGCACAGGTGAAATATGGGCACCGAATATCTCTAAATGTACGATTTGGTCTCCAAAAGCTTTCAAAAGTACTTCTTTCAGATGCGTCATTATTTTCGTACATCTTTTGGCCACGGCCTAATGTTAGCCGCTGGGCTGATGCAACGCGGCTTAAGGAGACTTTAACGCCTGGCGTCGAGGCTTTTGTTGCTAAGATATACCAGCGCGCACACTTGATGCACATACATACAAACACACACACACACACACACACACACACACACACACACACACACACACACACACACACACACACACACACACACACACACACACACACACACACACACACACACACACACACACACACACACACACACACACACACACACACACACACACACAATACACGCACATATATATATATATATATATATATATATATATATATATATATATATATATATATATATATACTATGATGCCCATATCTTGAAATATATCGTGATTCGAAACAGCTCTAGGTTTCCGATATCAGCTTTTCATAATAGGCCAAACATAGCAAAGATTTCAAAGGTATTTATCAGCCAGCCTAAATCTTGCTAAAAAAGCAATACTCTCTTGCTTAATTGGTGGCACTGCCTACCAGACAAGCGTTCTAAGACTGAGAATGTCACTTGACATCAAACACGTCACATTGATATGCTAGATCCATCCCCGAATGTTATACATGAACGTAAGTTACCCTTAAATGTAATTT